GAGGAAAAAGGAGTGCTATGCAAAGAACTATGGGAGTAAAAGGGAAGAAGGAGCTCGAGAGGTGGGACAATAGCAGACAGAAATTATCAAGGAGAAATGTGGAAAATTGGGACACTTTATTAAATGAGTGCAGGGAGGGAGGATAAGACAGGGAGAGAAGGAGGAGATAAATAGTGCCCAGCTAGTATAAAAAACCATAGGGAATTATATTAGTCTAAAAACCTACTGAAAAATTGCACATACAATATCTACATGAGTCTGTGAGTATAGCTGAAGACTACACAAGAAACAGTGTCAGACAGGAGAAACCTTCCTTTGAGTTGCTGGCCAGGGTAGTCCAAGAGACTCCCAAAATTACACAGGCTATTGCCACAGCCCTTGATTGCTTCCCAGAACTTGATGGTAAGACCCTACTGCTGAAGACAGGACATACTTTGGACACAGGATTTGGAGCAATGGAGCTGGAACTGACCTGGAACCTCCTTCCCCTGAAGGCTAACTCTCATGGCTTTGGAGAGCACTATGCAAGCTGCTAAGGGACAACATCAACCGATGGTCCAACGCTAGCTTCAAGACCTAAAAACCACGTCAATGACCAGCATGGCAAATGACATTGATGCAATAGTGGCATTTTTATCTTTGGGGCAATCAACTGCTGCCTAATTGGACGTAAAGCCCACTTAATGGGAGGAAACTCATGTGAGGTACTGTAAATGTAGCCAAATACACATAGCTGGAGATATCATAGAAAACTCCAAGGCTGTCACATCCCTAGACAAATGTAATTTCTTACTATGTGCAAAAAATGGATCCTTAAGTTTATAGACAAGTATCCCAGTCACTACCTATCAAAGAAACTTCTTTTTCAAGAGACAGAGATAATTAAAGAGTTTCAAAACTGGTCACACACAGAGATTGTCTGTTAACTGCCCAAGTCTAAGTGTCACATCTAGGCTGCAACCTCTACACCTAAGACTCATGGAACATAGAACAAGGGAGGAAGAGAACGCTAATGCATCTTTCAATTCTCATCAATGAAGCTCCCTCAAGAAACAGAGGGCCAGGAACTCAAAAGGTCACAAATGGCCAAAACACAGAGAATAAGAGTCAGCAGAGTGCGGTCCTTGGGCAGGACTCCTATATTGTGGTCCATCCAACCAGGACTCAGGGACCATTGTGGAAGAGGGTGCGGAAAGATTGTAAGAGCCAGGGAGGAGGTGCATGACCATATGGAAATAGTTCTACAGACAGGCGGGACCCTTCCCATACAAACCTACAGCTATGGTGTCAGCATGCACAAGACCCATGCATGCAAACTTAAGCAGACAAAATCCCAGCATAGAAGCATGGAAATGAACTGCAGGCCCCAATCTTAGTTGAAGAATTATTGGCAGCTGATTATTGTTGGGTGAGGAAGAGCTCATCTTGAAGAGAGAGACTCTAGATAGGCTGACTAACCCCCAGAGGGTGAACTTGCATTGAGAGACATCTGGGGACACTAACTTTACATGACAGGCCTTAAATGACAGAATGAACTCCAGTGGGGGGGGCTATGGGAGGGTGCCAAAGGAGAAGGGGGTATAAAGATGATTTTCTGTATGAAATACACAAAAATCCACTAAAAAAATTTTTTTTTGTCTTTTTGAGATAGGGCCTCCCTGTAGCCCCAGCTGTCCTGGAACTCATTATGTAGACCAGGCTGTCCTTGAACTCACAGAGATCTGCCTGCCTCTGTCTCCTGAGTGCTGGGATTAAAGGTGTGTGCCACCATGCCCGGCTCAATAAATTTTTTTTTAAAAAAAGAATAAGCCAAAACAAAAACAAATGAAGACAACAGAAATTGCTTGTAGGATAGGACAAAAATTGGCTGTGATAAATACTTCAAAGTGCTGTTCTAAGTGTGTTCAAAGAACTAAATGAAATCATTGTCATAATAAAAGTATTGCACCAGAGAAAATCAACAGAAATTATTTTTAAAAAGAAAATTCTGGAGTTGGAGAGTAAATGAAATGAAAATTGAAAAGAAATTAAAAGAAATCTTTCCTCTTTTCTATTTAATTTGAACTAACTTATCTTTGAATTTTTTTCATTCTCAAACTTGTCATTTCATTATAAGAAAAGGCTATCGATTTCACTTTTCTGAACTTTCATTTAGCAAAATCAAATCCTATGTAGCTATTCTATTAGATTTTATAAGGAATTTTGATATTTAACAACAGAGTAGAATATACCTTCTTCATTGAATTAATCAAGTTGTGCTAAAATCTTCATTGTGAGGTGATTAATTTCAGAATCTAAACTACTTAAATATATATTAGAAAAAATTACAGATTTTAATAAGTGAGTGGTCCATTTTTGTTATAAATTTGATATTGGGTTTTAAATATATTTTTGCTATTTTGAAGGTTATAACTTAGAAATGATATTCATATTTTAGAGGCTTTATGTTAGTCTTCAGAATGTTAAAAATATTAATCTTTGCCAAAAATAATAAGTGTAATTAAAAAAATATTTAGATGCTCTAGCAAGTTTTTAAAATGATTATAAAAGATGTTGTTTCAGGCTAACTTGAAAGGATCACATAGTTTTGACTTTAAATAATGCTGGCTTCACATTTTTATTTACAGAAAAACAGAAGATTTTATGTTAATTGTTTTTAATGTTAGGGAAAGCAGACCTTTCTTTAAGATCTTTAGATAGGCTGACTAGACTCCAGTAGATGAACTTGCACCAAAGGACATCTGGGTGCTTGACCAGATAGGGCTTAACATGTATGGCAGAATGTATGAGCTCTGGTGGGGGAGTGGGGGGCATAGATGGAGGAGGGGGGTCTACATTTTATTAAGAACTGTTGTATGAAATGTACAAAAGCTCAATAAATTTTTTAAATATTGAGATATGCAAAAAAAAAAAAAAAAAGCCGAGTGTGGTAGTGCACACCTGTAGTCCCAGCACTTAGGAGGCAGAGGCAAGTGGATCTCAGTGAGTTCAAGGCCAGCTGGGGCTACAGGGAGACCCTGTTTCAAAGACAAAAAAAAAATTTGAGATATGCATGGCTTTTTACTATGTTTTTTTGGTGTTAGGGATTGAACCTAGTGCCTCAAACATGCTAAGTATAAGCTCTACTACCGAGTTATATCCCTAGCTCTGAGTCTGGTGATACGTGCCTATGATCCAAGCACTTGGGAGGATGAGGCAGGAATTTAGTGACAGTTTCTCTCCAAAAAAAAAAAAAAAAAAAAAAAAAAAAGCACTAAAAATAATGAATTGTTAACAAATACTCCTTTAATCAGTATGTACCATTAGATTTTTCAAAGGTTCATTTCTAAAAAGTGACATACAGCTTATGTTTTCTTTCTAATACATTGAAATTTGTTTATTACAGACTGTTAATTTGGTATAAGATGGGTTATTTTGAACCTAGTCCAAGAGTATTTAGTTATTAAAAGTAACTCATTATAAGGTGGTCCTACCAATAAGGTGATTCACTGGCTCAGATCGCATGAACATTATTACAAAGCTCCATTATGAGTCACAGGAAGCCAGGCAGTTAATGGTCCCATCAGAGGAAATCTTACCAAACAAAATTCTTAAAACAAAACAAAACATGAAAATAATTTAGGCCTAGAGGTTCATAGTCTTGGTCATTTTTCCTAAATTTCTCTTTCCTGCTGTTCTTTATTGTTTCATTGATGTACAGATATTTCACACGAAGGTTTTAGCTTCCTTAAGCATTCATTTTTTGGTGTGGTCTTAAATTTTTTTGATTATGAAAATTTTTATTATTAATACTTCTTTACAAAATAATTACTGCATTTACCTATGGGAAAAGAAACTACCAAGAATTCATAAAAGTCAAAATTTTGTATAGCTTACCGAGAAATTCGAGATTAAGAAGGAGTGAAAAATGTGTGGTAATCAAATATAAAAATAATATCATCACTTACAGATGACTACAATAGCCAGTCTTTCAAGTGATTTTTACAATAGGCACTTCTATTACATGAAGTTTATAAGCAGTCCTAAAAACTTAAATACTTTGCATGTTTTTCATTATAAACAGAAAACATGACAAAGTCCTATTTTAGAAAAATGTGAGAATACACCTTTTAAAAAAATTAATCTTTTGAATAGAAAGATCATAGAAAGAAAAACAAAGCCTTACGTGAATGTAGAAACAGTGGCTAATTTCAAAAAAATGCATAGCAGGACAGGAATTTTCATTAATTTCAGGACTGGAGAGATGGCTAAGCAGTTAAGAGTACTGGCTACTCTTGCAGAAGACTGGGATTCGGTTCCTGGCACCCACATGGCAGCTCACATCCATCTGTAACTCCAGTTCCAAGGGATCTAACGCCCTCTTCTGACCTCCACGGGCATTGTATGGCACTTACATATATGTAGGCAATACATTCATACACATAAAAATATTTTTAAAATAATTATTAATTTCCTGCACAATTTGAGACTTTAAAGTAGTTCATCTAAAATTCAACTGTTGAGGGCTAGAGAGATGGCTCAGTGGTTAAGAGCACTGTCTGCTCTTTCAGAGGACCTTAGTTCAATTCCAAGCACCCACATGGCAGTTAACAACCATCTATAACTCCAGTTGTAGGGGATCCGACACCCTCTTCTGGCCTCCATGAACACTGCACAACACTGATGCACTTGTATACATGCAGGCAGAACACTCATACACATAAAAATTCAACTACCGTGTCATGAAATGAATGTACTCTTTAAACTGTATCTTTCTTCCATGTTTGATAAGGCCTGTTCCCCAACTGGTAGAGTTCATGATTCATGACCTATATTCTGTATATACTTTCAGCCCTTGAATGAATTCGATATTAAATTTCATTATCTGATCATTTCAACCATATATTTCAAAAAATTTGAAACATAAGAGAGAGAGAGAGAGAGAGAGAGAGAGAGAGAGAGAGAGAGAGAGAGAGTGTTAATTCCAAAATTGACTGGTAAGAGAGAGAGAGAGAGACCTTGTCTCAAAAAGACAAACAAAAAACAATTTTTCCTTCAGTCTCTTTAACAGTTCTTTATTGTCAGTCTGTGCACAGTTAGGGAAAGCATCATATGAAGCCAGAGTGCAGAGGCAGGAGTGACCTTCTTACTAATAGCTACTCACTTGCTATGGGCCAGGCACTCTTTTACATGCTTTAAATTTAACTCTTTAAGCGTCTCTTCTTTAATAAAGCATGCTATCACTAATGGAAATGGCCTAGCTCCTACTCTTAACAGTTTACTTTTTATATTACCATCTTGTTCAGAGAGACAATCTGAGGAAACCCTTGATCTATTACTATCAGTGCTGTCACCACAATTTTTGAACATTTTAGAAATACTAAGACTTTGTGCACATCTCTGCACACTCCACAGTAATATGCATATGAGATTGTGGGAAGAATAATCTAGGGAAAGGAGATGGTATTTGTGATCAAGTTGGGTACATGACTATAAAATGATAGGCATGATTTTTCATGTAGTCTATCAATTCTTCAAAAGGTATTTTCAAGCTGGGCATGGTATAGCACAATTGTTAACCCAGCATTGGGATGTAAGGCAGGAGGATCAGGAGCTCAAAGCCAACCTGGGCTATATGAGCAACAAAAACAAAACAGGTGCACTTACATGCAGACAATACACTCATACACATAAAATAAAAATAACAATAGTCTCAAAAACTTTTAGATTGTAATAGTTAAAATAAGCATCTATTTTTCTAAGTGATTATACACATACTCATGCTCCCAGAACATATGTAGATGAGTAAGTCATATGACCTTTCTTTACGAAATGGTATGTTTTAAGCATTTGGAACTAAAAACAGAATAAAATATCAACAGATATTCCTTTAAATTATTGAAAGGGAATTGAAGGAGTTTATAGTATTAAAGTCCACATTTTACAGATGAAACTAATTCCATGAAAGGCATAGTTCTGCCAATATAACTTAGCAAATCAGAGGCAGAGCCAGGAATAGAGCCTTGTCTTTTCTTTCCAGGACCCTACTACTCTATCTGTGGCTTAAGATCAATACCAGGAGAAATGGTTTTGCTCTTTCAAAACAATGTAGAAACTACCTAATAAATTCACAGATAAATTCTTTAATTGGTGAGCTGTCAATTCAAATTTTATGGATTAAATCTAAATGCTATCAAAATGAAAGCAAATATATGCACACATAATAATTCATTTACCCAAATAAACACAAAAATATTACTGGGAATTTTGACATGATAATAAATCACACATAGTTTAACAGCTTATACAATTCCAGTTAGAGATGTAGTTCAACAGTAGTGAGCCTGCTTTGCATGTGAGCTCTGGGTTTGACTCTCAGCTACACACACGCATGCACACATGCACACATGCGCACACACACCACTCTCTTTTCATTCAAATTACTGTAACAAGTTTAAGTGAATCTAAATGTTTCTTTGAAAAAAAATCAGTGGATGTATTTTTGGACTATCGGAGATGAGCATGTTTTATAACCATTTTTGTTCAGGTTTAGAGTTTCATTCTTTAAAATGTAAATACACTAAAAATTCACAAAAATGATCATTGTATATACACTTGCTTATTAAATTTGCAGTAGGAAGTTTTATATCTTAACAGTTACAAAATTAAAGTTTTATGCTAGAATATATGACTTTTTTTGGCACTGCTGGGAATTGTGTATCATTTTGTATGTGTGTATGTGTGTGTGTGTGTGTGTGTGTGTGTACTTGTATGTAGGGAAGGATGTATATGCATGTGTGGGTGTCACTGTGCATGCATATGTGGAGGCCAGAGATTGACACATATTACTTTGTAAAATGACAGTAAAACTAAATAATTAGAATCGAATATTTGAAATATTTCATTTGGCATTCTATAACTGTATATAATATTGTTTCTGAATTAAAATGTACATCAAAAAATGGCTGAAGCATGACTAGATTCAATTGTGATTAATCTTTATATACTGGCATGAAAACATATCAAGTGAACTATAAAATATGAATAATTACATGAAGCTGGAAGTGCCCTAGAAAACTCTAAATTTAAGAGGAAAATACTTGGTATGAATCACTTAATTAAAACTCTAGAATAAAACTTAAATTTCTGAATATAAAAGACCTAAAATCTGACAATGGATTAACAGTATCTAAAAAAAAAATTTAAGTATAGCATTTACCCAATGCTTAAATTATTATTTACAACAGCTTTAAAAATGCATAACAAGATAGTTTACAGTCTGACAGCATTACCTAACATCAGGGGACACCCCCTCCCGCTTCTCATTTAAAGTTCCTTATATATATTCTGTTTTTCCCAGCTCCAACTCACTTATACAAGTTGTCATATTATCATTGATATCAATTTTTTCTTTGCTAGGTGTGACTCCATTTAACTTTGTGTCTGTGCAATCTTCAGCTTTCATTTCTGGATGAATCTGCTCCTTTTCTAGTTCCAGTTTTAAAAAGGTCTTCAGCTGAAACAATCTGAATCATCACTGGATATATCAGTTTCAACTAGTTCACTGCTTTCTTCATCTATAGGATCAAAAAGTTCAGGGGTAAAATATATAGAGTCATCTTCTGCTTCTGTGTCAAGAGCTTTATTTGAACTGGAATGCTTGACTTCTTCACTTCCTGGAGACAATTCACTATCTGGATGTAGGGCTTTCTCATAGCAGAGCTGTGTTGAATGATCTTTCTTAGTAGGAGTGACATCAATGTTCACTGCTGAAACAGTAGTTTCTGACTGAGGGCATGGCCCACGTGACGTGTCTCGTATTATATTGGAGGACTCACATTTACCAGTGAGTGGCAAAACAGTTTTGCTTTCCACTGTTTTTGTTTTGAAAGTAGGAGAGGCACAACTCTCTGATGACTCAAGTACAGGTGTGCTAGTGTGTACTTTACCAGTGAAATGCTGTCTTAAAGAATCAAAGACAGGCCAGCTAACTTGATCTATTTGTTCTCCAAAAGTTGGGCTTAAGGACCTGGAAATCACCTTTTTTTCTGTTTTCACTGCCTGGGCAGACTCTTCCAATAATACTGGATGATCTAAGAATACAAATGTAAGAGAATTAACTCTGTGCTCCTAGGCAAAAAACTGTTAGGTTAAAATGCTTTTTATCAGAAATACTTTAATAATAGTATTAAATACTTTAGAGCCTACAACCAGTAATATTGGTCTTTTATCTTAGAATTTAAAGAAGAGAAAGTTAACTCGGAAGGGAACAGCAGATCTCCAGTGTTTTCCAGTCCAAGTTATAATGCTGTTTGCAAATGATCAGATACAATGGAGATCACACTACTACATGAGAAGAGGAAGGGTAGAAAGGAAGAGGAAGATGACTGAGCTAAGAAGGCCACGGACCCCGTGGCTGGGGATATAGTTCAGTTATAGAACACTTGCCTAGCATAAGCAAGACCACCAGCACTGCAGGGGAAAAAAGAAAACAGGAAACTTAACTTGAAAATCCACTAAGTAGTGACTGAGAAAAATTGCCCAGACTAATTATCTTAAATAACAAATGAGGAAACTGACAATCACAAAGGCTATGCTATTTGCTCAGATTGTGAAACAGGTTAGCATTTAAAACTAGTGCTAGAACCTAGGCTTCCTGATTACCAGTATAATTACCTTGAATTCATTCTGACACTTCTTTAAAAATAGAGATGTTAGCCTACAATGATATACAAATTAAAATTATGTCCAATTATCAGAATCTGGCATTTTTTTCTGTTAAAAGGCCAGATAGAAAATATTTTAGGTTTGTTTGTTAAAACAAACATTTCTGCTGCCAATGATTCAATTAGGCTATTCTAGTATAAAAATACAACTATTTAACTTTGTTGGATTTTGAATTACATATACAAATGGGCAGGATCTAGTTCCATTGAACTTCACTTACAAAAACAGCCAACAGGATGGGTCACAGTTCACCAACCCCTGATACAGACTACAGCTTCTAACATGTTTTAAAATACCAATTTTTATAATTTAGAACAAATAACTCCTATCTCGAGTTCAAACAAGGAGTTCTATATTGGATCTTTTTTGATTTTGTGACAGGGCCTTGCTGTAGCATAGGCTGGCCTCAGGTTCTTCTTTAAAAAAAAAAAAAAAAAGTAATAGCCCTCTTACGCACATGCATGGATACATGTGATACACCATGGTGTGTGTGGGGTCAGAGGACAAGTGACAATACTCAGTTCTCTCCTTCCACCATGTGGGTCACTATGCTTACAGCAAGCACTTTTATCTACTAGCTAGCCCACTGGTCTTGGCTTCAAAACTCTGATTCTTTTACCTCAGCATCCGGAGTGCTGGGATTATAGGTACCCCCCCAAAAAAACAATTTTTTAAATTATGCTTATTTAGTGTATGTGTGTGTGTGTGTGTGTGTGTGTGTGCGCGCGCGCGCACGTGCATGCTAGAGTCATTTCTCTCTTTCCACCACATAGGTCCTGGGAATTGAACTCAGGTCATTAGGCTTAGCAGCAAGTGCTTTACCCACTGAGTCATCTCACAGGCCCTAACCTAATTTTTTATATATCCTTTAAAATAAAATTTATCTGGGTTGGAGATACGGTTCAGTGGTTAAGGGCATTGGTTGCTCTTGCAGAGGACCTAGGTTCAGTTCCCAGCACCCATGTCGTAGCTAATAACTATCTGTAGCTCCAATTCCAGGGTATCTGATGTCCTCCTGTAGCCTCCACAGGCATTGCATGACATGGGTACACTTACATACGTGTAGGCAAAACACTCATACACACAAAATAAAAATAAAAAATTTAAGTCACACCTAGCATTTATATAGTATTTTACAATGCTGTGATAGTTATCATCTTATTTGGGTTTTTTTGTTTTTTTTTTTTTGGTCATTTTGAGACAGGGTCTCCCTGTAGCCCCAGCTGTTATAACCCAACAAAGAGGGATAGGTAGGCAGGTTATTAATATTTTTGTGTTATGATTCAAAAAGGTTATTATGTAGCTTGCTCATGATCATGAAGTTAGTTAAATGGCAAAACTAGTTAGTGGAAAACCAGAAATGCACTCTAGTGTCTTAAGAAAAAGTCTGCCCCTATTCAAATATATCATGTCATTTTTATAACATTTTTATGTTACAAATCAATGTACTTCAGGACATTAATGTATACCAAAATAAACATCATTTCACCATTATATAATGTAAGATATTTTTTTCTATCAAATGTAAACGGGAAGAGTTTTACATACTTTTGTCCCTTCTGGAGGTGATGTGACTCAGTACTGACAGATTTTTCGTATTTGTTTTAGGATATTGTGGCTGCTGGACACACATTTTTGCTTCTTCTTCCCTAGGATTTCCTCGTGCTAGAGGACTTGCTGCTTCTGGTAGAGATGTCAGAGTGTTCTCCTCCAGACAGGCCATTTCAAGAGTAGACTCACTGTCTTTTATACATTTTCTGTCTTTTTTGGATAGATCAGTGACTTTTTGGTGTTCTTTAGAAAACTCAGTAAGGGACTCCAGTGCACTTGCAAAGGACGAGTGGTGCTGAATCTGCTGCCTTACCCACTTAGAAAGTCCTAGAAAAAGTAAAAGCAGGAGAAAAAATGGTTACTTAGTTACCAAAATATTATATCTTATTAACATTAAATCTACTTTTTCTAGTGAAGCAATCTAATTTACATTTGAACATACAGAATGTTTTTCAGTATTTTTATGTTTTATATGCAAGTGAGTTATGAAGGGATTATGGCCTGAAAATGTATCATTAGGTTTAAAATATAGAAAGGTGAAAATGTACACACTGGGGCTGGAGAGATGGCTCAGCGGTTAATAAATGGAGAACACAGTTATTTAGTTTTACCAAAATTCCTCAAAACCAGGCCAGAAATATGACTCAGTGGGTAAAAGTGTTTGTCGTGCAAGCCTGATGACCTGAGTTCAGCCCCTGGAGCCCATGCAAAAGTGGAAGGAGAGAACTAACTCTACAAATTTGTCCTCTGACCTCTACACATGACCACTGTGCCCTCACTCATACACATACCACACATGCTCATACACAATAACAATAAATAACTTTTAAATATCTCAAAATCTATCTACCAATATCATACAAGGTATAAGCTGTAAATTACACAGCTTTCCAGGCTGTGAATCTAAATTTTGCCTTTTCTGAAAAATAGCTTTGAGATTCCAGCCTCAAAATATATCTTAAACTATTCTTGAAGTAGAAGAAATGATACCATCTCAGGGGAAAATCACGTTCCATCTGATTTTTGTTGTTGTTTTGAAACAGGGTCTCCCTGTAGCCCTAGCTATACTGGAACTTGCTATGTAGACCAGACTGGCCTCACTTTCTCAGGGATCCACCTGCCTCTACCTCCCAAGTGTTGGGATTAAAGGCATGTGCCATTATGTCCAGCTTCTATCTGAATTTTCATTGTGTTAAAAATTTAAATACATAAAGTGAGGGATATGATTTGACTGGTGACATATGAAAACTGTATATAAAATTGTATAAAAATGAGCTATACGGCTAGGAGTGGTGGCGCATGCCTTTAATCTGAGCACTCAGGAGGCAGAGGCAGGCGGATCTCTATGAGTTCAAGGCCAGCCTGGTCTACACAGTGAGTTCCAGGACAGCTGGGGCCTGTCTCAAAAAGACCAAAACAAAAACAAAAACAAAAACAAAACAAAACAAAACAAAAGAGCTATAAAGCCAGGCGTGGTAATGCGCACCTTTAGTCCCAGCACTCGGGAGGCAAAGGCAGGCGGATCTCTGTGAGCTCAAGGCCAGCCTGGTCTACATAGTGAGTTCCAGGACAGCTGGGGCTATGGGAAGACCCTGTCTCAAAAAGATAAAAAAAAAAAAAAAAGAGCTATATTACAAGTGTGTGGTGTTTTGTAGTATGTTTCATCTACAAGGAAAATAATTTAGATTTTTAAAAATCTGGCTTTTCACAAAATAAATACTCCCTGGATAGTGCCACAAAAATTAGCACCATCTTTTGGAACAATTAGGTCTAAAAATTGTTATACTCATTTATCTATCATCTATCTATTCTCTCTCTTTCTCTCATCATCTATGTGAAGTGGTATATACATGTGTGGTATATATGTGTGAATGTGGGTGTATGTCCATGGAGGCCAGTGGTTGACCTTGAGTGTCTTCTTGCATTGCTTTCCACTTGAGACAGAGTCTCGTCACTGAACTTAGAGTTTGTGGTTTTGGCTACATTGGCTGGCCAAGTGAGACCCCAGGATCCACCTGCCTCCTTTCCCCCAGTGCTGAGGTTACAATGTATGCCACTGAAGAATGGCTGCGCTGTGAATCTGAACTCAGATCCTCATGCTTGAGCAGCAAGCATTTTACTCACTGAGTCATCTCCATGGAATAATTTTAAAAGTCACTATGATACTATCAACTTAAAGAATGATAAAATAAGGCTTCAAGTGAACTAAATTATTATACTATATTTCAAGTACATTCCTTTAATTTTTTTTAAACGGAGTTTTTTGTTTTGTTTTGTTTTAGTGATCTATTTATTCAAACTGAATCTAAAAAAGAATAGCCATTAAAATAATTTGTGGGGGCTGGAGAGATGGCTCAGGGGTTAAGAACACTGGTTGTTCTTGCAGAAGATCCAGGTTCAAATCCCAGCATCCACATGGCAGCTAACAACTGTCTGTTTCCAGGGGATCCGACAGCCTCTTTTGACCTCCACGGGCATTGCACAACACAGGTGCACTTACCTACATGCAGGCAATACACGCATACACATAATATAAAATAAATAAATAAATAAAATGAAAAAAATCAGTCTAACAATGTGAAGGACAGAACAAAAAACAAACCAACAACAACAAAAACAACAGGAAAAGTAAATGAAAAATGCAACTAAAATTTAAAATAATTTGTGGATTGTGTTAGTATTTTATAGTAAGAAAGCATTTTATACGTTATGTCAGAAAAAAATAATCAAGAAATCGGAAAACATTTAATTCTAAAACATCAAATAAATCTGAGCTATGAAATAAAAATTTAAGTTCTGATTTTAAATAAGCATTTCCATTAGTTTACTTTGCTTGAGAAAAATGATTATACTAAATAAAAATGTGAAATTCTCTAAAACTGAAAAAATTTAATGTTATAGTTTCAAAAAAATTTTTGACCTTTTTATAATCAAAGAAAGCCTTTTCAGCACGAAATGTCATTGTTGGCTTTTGAACACGTGGCAGGGTCTGTACTCCACCTGCTGACCGACCACTCCTACTCAGCAAGTTTGCCTTTAGTTACAAGTTGAGCTAATATATTGCTTTGTTTACATTAAAAAATAGGAAAAAAACTAAGAGCAGTATTTTCTGCTTTTATCATGACAGGTAGGTTTTAATATTAAACCAAATATAGTAATTAGACTCTGAAACAGAAAAGGTAGAGTCCATACCTACACACAGCTACCATAAAACAAAATGAAAATTTGGCATTTCTTTATTATAATATAGTGAACTTTTATCTTAATGGTAATAATAAATATAAGCAAATCCCACAGCTCCTTAAGAGCAAGCAGATTTCTGGTATGAACTGAATGGACTATCTATCACTGCTGGATAAAAATCATAGGCACATAATATTTGTTGAAGAGAAAAAAATGATTATCTATTATCTTTCTGCCAACAGTGGTATTTTATTTCCTTTTAGAAAATACTTGCTTTGGGGGCTGGAGAGATGGCTCAGTGGTTAACAGCACTGACTGCTCTTGCAGAGGACCCAGGTTCAATCCTGAGCATCCACATGGTGGCTATGAACTGTCCTTAACTCCAGTTCCAGGGGAATCTGAAGCCCTCTTCTGACCTCTGCAGCATTGCATAAAGCAATTCTCGAGAAATATGGAGACCTGAATTTCATCCTCAGACCTCACATAAAAAGTTGAGAGTGGTGGCTCGCATTTGTAATCCCAGTGCTGAGGAAGAAGAAACAGAAAAATCCTTGGCTCTTGCTGGCCAGTCAGCCTAGCCTGCCTAGCCTAATCGGCAAGACTCAAAAACAAAGCAAACATGAGGTTGACCTCTGACCCCAACAAATATGCACATGCATATGCACCCCCATATGCACACACATGCACACCCACAAATAAATAAATGATAAAAATAGAAGCTTTAAATTTCAAAAGATAAAAGATGGGAGAACAGGAAGCCCCAGGCCCATTTTCCTCCTATAGAAACATGTATTCAATAATCTATGATCAAATCCCTTTATGAAAAATTCAGAAACAAATTAGGAGGCCATAAAACCTAGGTTAGAGCAAAATCAGCTGCATCAAAGCAGGCAGGAAAATGTCCAGCACCTTCTCACCACAGTTTCTCACCACAGTGCCGCAAGCCTAGAAGTGAAGTCCCAGCACCTGCTTCTCCTTAGGAAGAAGACTGAACTATAGGCCCAAAGTTCTGAAGCATATACTTCTGTCTTCAAGTGCTGATATGAGCAGGCAGGCCCATGCCTGCAGACCACTGAGAACAAAAGAGTTGGCCGCCTCTGTTTCTCCAGAGGAACCACGATACAGAAGACAGAGGCTGATACAGCTCAGTGGCCACTTAACCAGGAAAGAGAAGATGAGTGTGTGATCAATGTTCAGCTGCTCAGTGAGCTGCCCACGGAATGGATTCTATCTTACTCAACAAGGAGCACTGACATTATCTGGCATATTCCATATGCCCAGGGGCCACTGAGAATAAAAGAGCTTGCTGAGGAGCATGCTACTGCTTAAGAAGTCTCCATACAAAAGAATGGAGTACAAGAGGCTATGATATCCAGGGAGAAAAGAGTGAAAAAAAGGAAAATATTTAAGCAGTAAGAGAAAAGCAATCCATTATAAAAGCATCCCATTCCTGCATCAATACAAAAACAAAAACCAAAAAAATAACCAAAACCTCAAATCCTCGAAATAACCCTAATCAACTAAGCAAAAGACTTCTATAATGAAAACTTTAAAATATCTAAGAAATTGAGTAAGGGGAAATGGGTATACAAAGAAGGGAGAGACCAGAGACTAAAACACAGCAAAGCAAACATTAAATCCTGTATCTCCATATTCAGCATCTTAGACACACAATGGTACCATCTGAGCACCAAAGGGGAAGGCAGCCCCTTTTCTGTGGCCTTGCTGGCTGCAGCCCATATGACCTCTCTTGGCCTGGCTCTGTTTGTGGCTTTTGTCAGCAGGGGCTCCATGTTTTTAACACCATCAATTTCCTTGGGATTCCATTTCAGCTTAGGTTCCGTGGAACTTTGCACATATCCAGTCAGGGACTGCTCCCAGGGAATCTGATCATCTCACATTGCCTGGCCTTGCAAGCTTTCTTTTGAAAGCATAATCTCATAATTTCACTGATGCCTGAAAACCCAGCATCAAGTAGATGATGAGAAGGACTACCACCAGCTTGGACGGTTGCTGGGCCCCTTGTAGCAAGGCTGCAGCTGCCTCTGAATACATAAATAGCTAAACTCAGGGGAATATTTCCCAAAGTGGTGATGCTCTCTTCTCTTTAAACCAGCTTAATTCTTGACCTTTCAATGGGGAAG